GCAGGGCCGCGGTCAGCATCACCGACAAAAAAGGCCACAGTACTGTAGGTATCTTAAGCTGCTATCGTCGCGCTCGCGGGAACGCAATGTGCTAGAAGCACACCAGAGTGGCCTTCACGGCTCAGTTTCTCAGTTAAATCTGGCGGATCGGATGGGCATGTGCGTGGAGGCCCAACAGAGACGCTACGTACTGACGTTGACAAGCAGGGAAAGGTATTTAGCTTCCAACAAAAGGCAGCAGCTATCATCGTACTCGCAGTCATGAATTAATGTGGTGTATCACCTCCCGTCAAAAGCTCGCCATCAATTCAATTGAGAGGGGAGCTGAAATATCAGTTTGATCGGTCTAAGCAATTTGCGTACAGTGAGCTGCTCAGAAGATCAAAGACGAGCCTTCCCAACTTGATCCGGCTCGTTAAAGGCGAGACGGCACACGACCCCCGGCCCAACAAGGCTTTGAGTGCTTCCGATCACCTCCCATGCTGGTCATCTTATGAGTTCAAGGAGGAGTGGCGCGATATTGTCACAAATGAAGTCCGCCCAACGTGGAAGAACAAATCATCATGCCCACAAAACCACGGCTCTGCTTTGCAGGGGCCAAACGCGGTCATTAAAAATTTGAGAAGAGACCAAGTCGACAATCTACACTTGATCTTGGATATATCACGTCTTCCAGCGCTGGAATGAGTCACGTGTAGCCCGTTTGGAGCCGTACCAAAGGGCGACGTCGATTTAAGCCTTGACGCCAGAATTATACACGATCTATCCTGTCCGAAAGGTGATTCGGTGAATGACCAAGCCCAGGATGAGCCTTCAGTGAAGGTGACTTACGACGGGGCAGCCGCTTTAGCTCGTTGTATTCTTCACGTGGAAACTACATCGCCATGATTAACGAAAATGTCCACGGGCGATGTTGCAGGAGCTGTCCGCAACATTCCCCTGGCAGCCGAGCTGGCAGGACGATTGGAAGGCACTTTTACCGAGTTGGGCATACTACACCTTTGCCAATCCTAACCGGCGAGATTGTAAAGCAAAGAGGAATGACCCAAAATTAGTTTTCATTTTAAAATGAATATTCAGTGTAGAGCAATGGTGATTTAGTATAAATTAGAAATTTACTGCTTGACTGTTTACAAATTACTTCGTAGTTTCTTGTTAATGAGAGACGTGCTGATGCGATTTGCTAAGTCAAACCACAGCATATCTTGCATCTGCGCTAGTGTATACCAGCCGTTTTCCTCTAAGTACCACACTACATGTACATGCAGCACCTCCACCATCTCAGGCGTGTACTTCGTGCACGCTGCGCGCGCACCATCTCTGGTCTTGACGTCCGGTGTCCCACGCTCGACAATAATGCAGGCTATAGTGGCTAGAATGCCATTACAGTCCGCCACCAGGGCCCAGTCCCGTCCGCTCGTGTAAGCGTCTACAGTAGCACCTGCCTTAGGGCGGCAATCCCCTGCTTCGGCTCGCTTGGCATGGTTGTGGCGCTCCGAAAGTCTGGTACTGGCACGAAGCCAGTGGGTAGCGTTACGCTAAATTTGCATTACTCTAAAGTCACTTTTCATATATATTTCCAAAAATTGTTTGTTACTTTTGTTACTTCACTCCATTTTGCTTTACGATCTCGCCGGTTAGGATTGGCAAAGGTGTAGTGATCGATCTATCGTATCCTTTTGGGTAGACGGATTCGCCGCGACAGTACTAAGATGCAGGTGGCGTTATCGTGCATTTGCATGCTAACACATCGCCGATGTGGCCAGCTCAGAGTATCGACGGTCTCAGGCTGTTTTGATGGAAAATCATGGTATGACGACCACATCTGCATCGAGCCCGACATCGGCTCGAGGCTTTCAAAAGCTAGTATGTCCTTACGAACGGCAATGGTCACGAATATCGGTCCACATGCGTGCAGCGACGAGAAGTTTTCTCCGTGGTTCACTGAAAAAAAGGCCCTCGGACTGATTTGGAACCTCAAAGCGCCACTGCCAACGCCCGACGAGAAAATTATGAAAGCAATTGGACGTATACATACACTATACGTCTCAAAATCTGCCTCCAGAAAGCAGTTAAACAAGCTATTGGGAAGTTTACGACACGTGTTTACGTGTATCCGATCGGCGTCCCCATTCTTTCAACGCATAGCCTCTTTAGCTCACAGAACGACTCCTTTTCAGCCATTCATCATCTCCTTGGAGGTTCGTGAAGACAATTGATGGTTCGCTGCAATTTTGAGGGTCGGTAGACTCAATTCCGTGCCGCTGACGAGATTTGTGGAATCTCGAGCACCCGAATATAAGCTTTTCATGGATTTAAGTGAAAGAGGAATTTGTGCAATATGGCCAGCTCAGAAAGAATGTTTGCAAGTGGAGTTCGATGAAGAAGAGCGCCACCAGATCGCAGCAGGTAACGCGGTCGTGTCCGACGAGCTTAGTATCAATATTCGCGGGATCATGAGCGCAGTTTTCGCATCAGTCGTATGGGATCCACGGTGGAATCAGAAAGTCAAAGTAGTCCAGCGCATACCCGGTTTTGGATTGACAAGATGTCTGCGGTGTGCTGGGCGACTCGCCGCTCCAGTCGAAACTCTTTCGCACGAATGCTGCTGAGACTGATCGCGCTTCTCGAAGTAAAGCACACTTCTACACCTCGACTCGTCACATTGCGGGTGCCAACAACGTAATGGCGGACGCAGGTAGCAGGGTGTGGCAATCAGAGCAGTTAGATAAGGTAATTGCTGACCTGGACACAGGTGCGAGTTCCGGCGAGCTCAAGAAAACTTTGGAAGCTTTGGGAGCAATGCTTTGAGCTGAAGCTTAAGCCGACACATCTCGACGGCAATATAGGTGGGGTTGGTACCAGTGGCAGAAGTGCTGCAGCTTCATGGGCAACCAACCATGGCTACGTCGTGATGCGCTTGACGCCAACGCGGATCAGTTGAGTGCTTTTGCAGTATTTCTGTGGAGATTCGGGATGAACAGGGTCGGAACCGGCAATACATACTCAACTATTTGCAGTAAATTGTGCGCGGTCAGGTGGTTCCATAAGCACACAGCCGGATATGACCCGGGTGTCAATGCGGGCCACGCAGTACTTTTACGAGATATTCGCCGCAGCAGCCAGTTACCCCCCACGCTTTTGCACTCCATCTATCATGCGATTGATGTACGGATTCACGAGGGCAATTACAGTGGGGTGGGCTACTGTTGGCCTTCTTTTTGCAAAAATCAGAGTATCTTTTTATCGGCAACAAGCATCACCTGTATATCCATCAAAATCAGAGTATCTTTTTATCGGCAACAAGCATCACCTGTATATCCTTCGTCTGGGTGATTTGTTGTTCCAGAACAAGCACGGGGAGCGGACGCGACCTCGCGACGCTGAGGTAGTGGGAATCTGCCTTCGCGGAGTGAAAACAACCAGTTTGGACGCGAGGAGCGGCGCTTTCATCATCGGTCTGGCGATGAGATGCTGTGCCCAGCTCTCGCAGCACAATGAATTTTAAAAGGCGCCAGGGCTATCGGGACCCAATCTGACCAACCAGCGCTGACAAGTTCAGCTGAAAGAGGAATTACAGTGAAGGAGATCTCAACCATTTTAAAGCGAGCCGCTATGCCTGCGGGACTAAATGCGCTACACATTCAGTGAGGATCAGCGGCGCGACGGAGCTACTAAACGGAGGTGCTGATCGACTGGCGATAAAACTGATGGGGAGGTGGTAATCTAACTCATATGAAGACTATCCAGTACTGACCGCCGGCGGCTCGAGCGACTTGTCTAAGCTGAAGTGCGGCACTAGATGCTAGCCTCCCGCTTAAGTCATCATGCTCGGTGGTGTAACAAACCGGGGCGAGGATTAATGATTCGTTGGGGGCGCACCCCTCCACGCCCGAGATGCGCACTCAATGAAGTTTACATGCCCCACACGTTCGTGCTCATTGAAAATGCTCGGTTTCTTTTAACAAGATGTCGAAGATGTCGCTGACCAAGAGAGGAAGGCTGCTTTTTTTTTCTGATCACGAGATGTGCATCGTAGCTCCAGGCTAAGTTTTAGTTTCTTGGAGGAACGCGTATAGCATAGCCGACTTCAGTTCTCATTTTGGATCACTCGCAACCCACCACTTCACGCCCGAGCTGCGCACCCAATGAAGTTTGCATTCACCACACGATCGTGCTCAATGAAAACAGCAAAAAAAACTGCTACCAGTACGCTCCAGTTCCGGCTGTAGCAGCGCTGATATAGGTACTGTCTATCATTAGGACAAAAGTGCGTGGCATGCAGGCGCTAGAGAAAGCAACATACTCGGAACTAGCACTATCGATAGCAATCATGGATGATCACCTTTAACAGAAAATGTGGCCGTTGCTGACACCTGTGGACACCAGGAGTGCAGCTTTGACCATGGCACTGTCATCGAGCTTGTTGTTTAGAGACACTGTTCAGACAGAAGCTGCACATATACGTTGTCAATACCATAACATAAATACATAATTAGCCGCGCCCATAAAATCATGTCAACCATGTTCGTACCATCTCGAAAGTACCTCCCCTGATCCGCTTTAATGCTCAAATTAACATGTAATTTTGACCAATAGAACAATAGTAACCCAACGTAGTATCCCTAACAATTCAGTGAAGACCGGTACTATATAACATGTACAAGTACTAGATTAATTGTAGTATTTTAGTAGATACAAGTGCATCAGTACCCAAGAGCTGTACTGTACAGTACTACATGTGCATGCATGGATAGTAAGTCGAATTGTATCACATGAACAAGTATGGATAGTAAGTCGAATATCACATGGAACTGGCACGTAATGTCGTCGACTACTGTACTCTTAAGATTTCTGAAAATGCATGTCCTCATTTTTTTTATTGTACGCTCATGGCAAAGTCTAACCACCCAAAATCTCAGGGCACCTAAAGCTGTGATCACCAGTTCTACACATCTAGGAATTTTACTGCGGACTTCTGCGCCGCGTCCAGCAACATCTTAGCATCCGAAGAAGCGAACAACCTGCAGAGAGGTGCCGGTCTTACCCTTCGACAGGTACGCAACACTGCCATCCTCGTACGTCTTCAGAGCCTGGTAGCGGTTGCCGACCACGGACTTGTCCACCACCACCTTGTCACTGATGGCCTTACCCGTCGAAGCGTCCAGCACCTGCGCATACATCGTGCGGTCACCGCCCTCCATGAAGTCGCCGCCCGACGAGCTGCCCTCCCACACAGCCAGCATGCCGCCGCTGCCGATCTGCGCGAGGTGAGGCGCACGTTCGTTGGCGTCCGTGCCGCCCAGAGTGATGTCCTCGCTGGCAGCCGCGTTCATGGCAAAGTGAATCAGGTGCACCTTGGCGTTGTCGCCGTTGCCGTTGCTAACCGTAGCCCAGTATTTCTTGCTGGAAGCGTCCGAGTCCGGCACGATGTCGCCCAAGTTGGCAGCACCCAGGTCAACCGGGTAGATCGTTGTGCCCCAGTCCTTAGGCGGCATGATACGGTTGTTGCTGTCCGTCTTACAGATAGTCGCGTAGCTGTCCGTGCGGTTGTCGTACGTGATACGTTCGTAAGCCGAGTGCGAGCAACCCCAGTCGAACGAGTCCTCGTTCGCCGTGATCTTACCGGTAGCGTCAACCACCTTCATGCGGTCACCCTGGTGAATGTTGATGCAGCCACCCTCCGACGTGGAGATGGCGGCACCGAAGTACGCGGCCCAGTTCTTGCCGTCGAACGCGATACGGCCGTGGTGAGCGTACCACCAGATCATGTAGACGTCAGGGCCAGTCTTGCCCGACGAGTAGGGAGGCAGCGACGCGCTCGAAGACGTCAGCTTCGTGGCCCACGACTCCTTCGTGCCGTCATAGCGGATCATATACATGTCATAGCACGGAACGGCCGGGCTAGGAGCCGAACCACACAGGTTGCTCGGGTTACCACAGTTGAGGATACCGCCGCCCTCGGCGTCTCTCGTGCCGAGAATGACAAAGCCGTTCTTGTCGGCGTGGATGTCAGCGAAGTCGTGGAGCGGCACCTTGACGGCGGGGCTGCTGGTCACGAGTTTGTCTTTGGCGTCCAGCTCACGGACAATGATACTGTCGCCGCTTTGGAAGGCGACGCGCGAGCCGCCACCCGGAATAGCAGCGATAGCCACAAGCTTGAGGGCGGCCTCCTCCTCGTTGGCCTCGACGGCAGCACCAACATCGACGTCCGTGATCTGGATACGCGGCTTGGCGCAGAAGCCATTCTTGGTGGTGCCTGCAGCCTCAAGGCCGCTAGTACAGGCCGCAAAAAGAGCAACGGTGGAAGCCATCAGAACGTTGTACAGACGCATGGTTTCTAGATGTGGGAAGTGTGTTGAAGTGGACTTGGCTTTCGCTGGGTAAAATGGAAAGTGAGTGGACGTGAGTGAAAACTAATGGCCAACTTGGAGGTGGTCGTGTACACTAATATCTGTTACCGTAACACGCCCGTGTTGACCCCCCCTATTAATACGTCTGAACGATAGGATTACAGCAGGAAAGATAACCAGACTCCAGATGGAGTGGCGTGCCTTTGGCCAAGACCTCGTGATGTACCATTCTTCATCAAGTTGGTGGTGTTTTTTGTGGACCGATCTCAATGGATGGACTAGAGGATACAAGGGCTACATGTATGTCCTAGTGTCATTTAGTACACAGCACCGTACCTAAGCTAAGCTCGTGGGGTAATTCGTGCCGGTCATTTGAGCCTGCTACGAACAAGGTAATGTAGTAAATTGAGAACAGGGGGTTACAGCAATGAGTCAGGCTCTGTACAATCCCTACTTTTGATTACATTTTGCTGAAAAGACGTTCACAATGCGCGATCCGGTGTGGAAGCCGTTTATGCAGACACCATCAAGGTCTGAAGACAATCGTTTTTCGCTGTTTGTGGCTAGAGCAGCTTCTTCATTTCCAGCTGCTTTCCTCGCCAAAGTGTGGTGATCAACCGTAAAGTAATACGTATTAATAGTACAGTATGTTTTAATACATGGAGAGTACCGGTAACGACGAATAAATAATTGTTTGGGCAATATGATAGATATACTTTAGCATCAAGATAATACTACAATAACCCCCTATGCATCCTACTATCATACTTATTTTTCCATTGACAGTAGCGCCCAACTTAGGAAAATATCTGGTGTATTCCGAAACTTGTATTGTTACAAGCGAGGACGAGGCCGCAGCCAACAGAGTCGTAAGTGTAGCCTCTTAGCTCATTCTCAAGTTTCCCCCGCTCTGATGCACCACGACCCTCACTCAGGGCTGGCCGACGATCAATGAAGAACATTGTCCCCAAACGACTGAGAATATCTTTGGAAACCACAAAGAAGTACTAACCACATGTCGACGAGATTGATATGTTTTAAAGGACAAACGTAACAGATATTTCTTAAAGTCCGTTGCTGCAACGGCCTCTCACTTTAGAGCTCAAATCAGACAGTACACAACTGGTGGCATCACAAATTGAGAAGTCTTCGCGACGTGCCATGGTGATACAGTACTACTGTACCACTTCCACCTCGCACGTAGTTCGCTGGATTGTAGCACTACAGGAGTCCTGTCCTGTCAGCCTGACAGTGTCAGGACGAGTTATATACTCACTCCACGAAGGAATTATTCTCAAGGCTTTCAGCCCATTGCAAGCAAATCTTATTAATAGCATAAAAAGGAAATCCCACGGCACCAATTCTTGCATGTACAGTACAATGTACATTGTACATGTACGAAGTATTATAGATGTTTTCCGCTACTCTACGGGTCTTCATGGGGGCAAAAGCGAATTTATTTGCAGGAAAGGAGCCGAAATTGCCGTAGAAGTTGTACTTCTCGAGGCGGCCCGTGGGTGTGTTCGCGCGCAGTGGAGTCGGTATGTGCGCGCAAAACTGCAAATGACCACGCTCTCTATCACCCGAAAACCACGGGTAAAGTAGGAGACTTTTGCTACAAATGTACATACATACCGGTAGCTAGTGACCATTCGATTGAGCCGATTTGATAACAAATTTAGGGAGAAAACTAAAATAATTTAACACGACGTTATAGAAGGCTAATGGATTTCTTGAAGCGGTCAGAAGAGCTCTTTGCTTTTACTATGTTGAAATTCTTCAACTATAGCCAAGTGCCTTTGGTGGGTTTTTACACTTGGTTTTACGTTACTGAAGATGCACGTAAGAGCGTGACATTAAATTTCACCTTCATGTATTCAGCAGCCTTGCACAAAAGATGTTTTGTTCGATCAAGTTACATGTACAGTACCGGTACTTTGCAACCGGCAAGCACGCATGTCGGGGCCATCAGTTCGCAAATTACTTCCTTTTTTCAGCCGGCTGCAGCCACGGAGACCAGCCGTACAGGGAAACATGTACCTACGTTTCGAGCATGTACACCATTTCCCGGCGAAGTTACCAGTTTTACCAACTCGTGCAAATGGCCCGTTCTTGTGAGATCTAATTTACCATTTTTAATTTTAGGCTTCGGTATTAGGCGATTTGCAAGAAAAAGCCACTTTTCCCACGACTTGCATTTCTGCCCATCACACTTTTCAAGCAGGTTGCAAACCTGGTCAAATACATAGAGCCTACGCTACCGCATGCTCTGACGCTTCAAGGGTTATTCCGAGAAGAAAAAAAAGCACAAACAAAGCCAAACAGCGACTACTGCATTCACAGTACCGTATTAACATCATTTAAGTTGTCCTGGAATAAAAAATGTTTTGGAGGGCTTCATTTCTTGAAGCAGCATAAGCCGTGCCCTTTGATGCGGTAACGTAGGCTCTATGTATTTGACCAGGTTTGCAACCTGCTTGAAAAGTGTGATGGGCAGAAATGCAAGTCTGGGAAAAGTGGATTTTTCTTGCAAATCGCCAAATGCCGTAGCCTAAAATTAAAAATGGTGTGTCTCCACACAGCCTTAAATTAGATTTAACAAGAACGGGCCATTTGCACGATGGTTGGTAAAACTGGTAACTTGGCCGGGAAATGGTGTAGACTACTACTGTATACAGTGTAACATGATGTGCAGTTTGGTACACTGTATTTTATGATCATACAGTACTACACACTTGTACCTTACCGCTGTCGGCACAATTGGTCGACGACATGAGTCAATTTTTATCGTGCCAGCACGACTACAGACTCTGAAACAGAGGATACCGTGCGTGGGGTGGGGGTGGGGGCAAGACAACCTAATGTTAGAGATGCAGCCGTCTGCCGTATTTCATCAAAGCTGGCGACATTTACACCGGTAGGCTACTGTACCACTGATATTAAATAGCGCAGCAGGCGCGCTATTAATACGCTTACACTGATGCATGTCAATCTTTCGTGATGTGAAGAATGACATATGCCCGTGAAGAAAGAGGCAACTTATGGTTGTTGCTCGATCTGAAAGTCTGCAAGATCACGCTCAACCTAAGGGTTGTTGCCACCCTCGTTCCAGCTGAAGTTCATGAGCCTCTTGCACGATATAAGGATAACGAAAGTCCTCATCGATTGTTCGTACCGTTGAATGAAATGCATCAACGTGCTTGTTTCTCATTTTCCAATTGGCCTTCCACAGCAACAACCTCCTCGGTTCACTGCAAGACCAAGACATAACCAGCCATGCGTCTGTATCACGTCCTGCTCGCTTCTGCTCTCGCACTCCTTGCTAGCAACAATGGCTTCGCTGCCGCCGATGAGAAGTGCACCATGGTGACACCAGAACCTGAAATGCCCGACGTCACGACCGCCACGCCTACCGGCTCGTCATCGCTCGCCAGCGGCTCTGATGCTCCGGTCACTCAGGACTCCACCACCGCCTCGGACGTCGGTGCCAGCCAGGAAACTACCCCCGACAGCCCGGTGCAGCAGTACTCCAACCCTGGCTCGGATGCCAGCCAGACGTCCCCTTCGGGCCCTGCTTCTGGTCCGTCCAGCGTTGATGCCTCGCAGAACAGCGAAGATCCGGCGCAGAACAACGACGACCCCATGCAGGTCGAGATGCCGTCGAGCGTTGACGCCTCGCAGAACAGCGAAGACCCGGCGCAGAACAATGATGACCCTATGCAGGTCGAGATACCGTCAAGCGTTGATGCCTCGCAGAACAACGATGGCACCAAGCAGGACGATGACGGTGCTTCACAGAAGACTGACGTTGCGTCCTCCGCTGAGACTGCCGGTGAGGCAGACCCCTCCTTGACATTCACGGAGGTGCCGAAGGCCACCACCCTTACCCCCACGGTCGCTTCGAGCACCAGCGCCAGTGGATCCAGCGCCGGTTCGCCCCCTACCACTTCCAACAACTCCACCACGCCGTCGACCTCGACTACTCCTGGCGAGAACTCTAAGCTGTGCGCCAAGCCGCGCATCGAAATCACGGAAGTGACCGTGGATGCCTCTGTTGATGCCAACGAGGATGAGGCCGCTCTCAAGCTTGTGGCCATCGCTGCTATCCCAGGTGGCGGCTCGCGCGTTGCCTACCACAGTGGCGAAAATGTCATCGTGCAAGAGATGGACGCTAGCGACAAGCTCGTGAGTGGCAGCACTGCCAAGGTCCCGGTCCACGACTTCGCCGATATCTATGCCGACAAGGATGGGTTCGTCATCCTCGGCACGAGAGACGCCGAGGGCGGCGGTACCCTCAACTGTGGTAACCCGAGCAACCTTTGTGGCTTGGCTCCTAGCCCGGCCGTTCCGTGCTATGACATGTATATGATCCGCTATGACGGCACGAAGGAGTCGTGGGCCACGAAGCTGACGTCTTCGAGCGCGTCGCTGCCTCCCTACTCGTCGGGCAAGACTGGCCCTGACGTCTACATGATCTGGTGGTACGCTCACCACGGCCGTATCGCGTTCGACGGCAAGAACTGGGCCGCGTACTTCGGTGCCGCCATCTCCACGTCGGAGGGTGGCTGCATCAACATTCACCAGGGTGACCGCATGAAGGTGGTTGACGCTACCGGTAAGATCACGGCGGACGAGGACTCGTTCAACTGGGGTTGCTCGCACTCGGCTTACGAGCGTATCACGTACGACAACCGCACGGACAGCTACGCGACTATCTGTAAGACGGACAGCAACAACCGTATCATGCCGCCTAAGGACTGGGGCACAACGATCTACCCGGTTGACCTGGGTGCTGCCAACTTGGGCGACATCGTGCCAGACTCTGTTGCCTCTAGCAAGAAGTACTGGGCTACGGTTAGCAACGGCAACGGCGACAACGCCAAGGTGCACCTGATTCACTTTGCCATGAACGCGGCTGCCAGCGAGGACATCACTCTGGGCGGCACGGACGCCAACGAACGTGCGCCTCACCTCGCGCAGATCGGCAGCGGCGGCATGCTGGCTGTGTGGGAGGGCAGCTCGTCGGGCGGCGACTTCATGGAGGGCGGTGACCGCACGATGTACGCGCAGGTGCTGGACGCCTCGACTGGTAAGACCATCAGCGACAAGGTGACGGTGGACAAGTCCGTGGTGGGCAACCGCTACCAGGCTCTGAAGACGTATCCGGACGGCAGTGTTGCATACCTATCGAAGGGCAAGACGGACTCCTCGCTGCAGGTGGTGCGTTTCTACGGCTGCTAAGTGGATTTGAGTTGGAACAAGAAGAGATAGAAGTGTTTTGCGTAAGATGTCAGGGATGTGAGCTCGGTATAAATAAGAATATCGTGCTCAATCGTTAATGTACTAGCTGCTTCCAAGTGCTCATTTACTGGACACCCCGTTTTTTCAATCTCTTTTTTCCTAGATAGACAACTGCAATGAGGTACCATGGAAAGCTGTACTTCTACACTAAGTAAACTGAACATGTTGATCGCTCAACGTCCACGGTATACAATACATTCCCCCAAAGGATAGCATGATCTCGGGTGACGCTATTGAATACAAGTAGTTACTAGCGGAAGAAGACGACCATCATTATGGACACCGAGAAGTGCGTAGCTAAGCAAACTAACGTTAAACGCAAAGCTTCATAGTGGCATGGTCAAATATCGGTAAGCTTACAAACACGTCGAGACACATTCAGGCGGACAAGTCGTACTCGTTGTGCCTATGGACTGGTACGCCACATCCCCGCCGGGGAACGTCGTCAATGACTGATACCGGTCACCGATCTTCTTGCAGCCCACGGTCACCTTCTCACTAATCGCAGAGCGTGCGTGTAGATCGTTCAGCCAGCCAATTCGTACTCGAGATTTCCGCTCGTGGAACTTCCTTCCCACACGAGAAGAAGACAGCCGTCGCCGATGGAAGCAAGATACGGAGCACGTTCACTGGTGGTATAACCACCAAGAACTAGGTCGTTGTTAGTCTTCGCATCCATCGAGAAATAAATTAAATGCACGCGCATGTTGTCTTCGTCGATGTCCGACGTACTGTTATCGACAGTAGTCCAGTATTTCATGCTAGTACTGTCGGCCGGATAGATGATGCTGTCCCAGTCGTTATGCGGTTGTTGCTGTCCGTCTTACAGATCTTCACATAACTGTCCGCACAGCCATCGTAGGTGATGCGAGGTGATCGACCCTGTAGACTCCACAACCTTCATGCGACAGCCTGGTGGACATTGATGCAGATGTCCACACGGATAAGAGCGCCCCAGTTCGAGCCAGCATTTGCAAGGTGACCGTGGTGAGCGTACCACCAGAGCATGTACACCTCTTCGCCTGAAGCAGAGGTGGTGTAGATCGAAAGCAACGAGCTCCAAGATTTCAGGATTAGTGGCACATGGATATGTTTTGAGCCGTCGTAACGAACCTACATATCGTAGCACGGAACGGAGAGCAAAGCACAGGTTGCTCGGATTGCCGCAGTTTAGGGCGCCTCCTCCTCCGGCATCTCTCGTGCCGAGTAAGACAAAGCCATCGTCATTGACGTGTCGGCAAGTGGGACTTCAACTGTGTCACGAGAGCGTCGTCCGAGTCTAGATCACGCACGATCACGATGTCTTCACTCTGAAAAGCTCTACGAGAGCCACCAGACGGCATCGACGCGAAGGAAACGGCGATGATCCCTACCTCGTCCTCGTCATTCTACACCATCTCAACTATATCTTACGCACACGGGACGTACCGCAGCAGCCGGAACTGGATGAAGCAGTCGTGATTAAGCTCAAAATGGAAGCTGTAGACGCAGAAGCAGTCGTAGTTGCAGCATCGGAAAAAGCAATTGGCGTCTCTGTCGCGTCCAGCCGTCGACCAGGTGCCAGCCGAAGCATCAACACCCGAGAAGCGTCCGACGTAGTGGCTTGCCTGGCATAAAGGACGGATACAAATTACTATGTTCACAGAAGCAATCCAATAAATTGTGAGATTGAAAGCCACGCCAACCAATCGATGGGATCCGCATGCTGATTGGTGGACTCAGTGACCAGTCAAACAATCCTCCCCTTCGGAGAGAGAGAGCACGAGGCATTCTGCGTTTTTGGGTAGTGGGCAGCAATGAGCGCGCAGGACGACGAGCCGACAACTTACGAGGAGACGCTGGAAAGGTGGGCGCTGTACGACTGCAGCGCCATCGAAAGAGCGCGCAATAATGACGAGATGAGGCGTCTCTTTCAACGGTTCCGAGCTACTCGGGGCAAGCCTGCCACGGCCACAAGAACCGTGACCCTCCAGTCCCTGGACAAAGCATGGACTTCGTTCGTACTTCGATGGAACAAGGAAGGCGGGGAAGCCTTCGAGCGCACATTACAGGAACGTGAGGCGACTCACGCTCGGCTGTCCGTCGGTACTTTGAAAGCTCAGGTGTGCCAGCTGTCAGATGACCAAGGTCGCCAGTGCTGTTCTGTACATCGTGGAAAAGGATGTAAGCGCTGTCGCGGGCGCGGCGCCCCGCGACCCGATGATTATGAGTGGTGTCGCATTGTGAAATCGAGGCGGATTACTAAAGTGGAGCGTGGTGTGATTGGACGCTACCAAAGAGTCCTCGGCAGGGCTAGGGGAGATGGACGGCCACACTGTCGTGGCGACCTACGACCAGTTCGAGGCCTACCTCGTACTTTGCCACGCAGTCTGGAACGTCGGCAAGAAGAATGGCGCGAGTCGCTCGACTATTCGGCATCTAACGTGCCAAGTAACACCCCAGTGGAGAGATGGCATCGTCGCGGTGAGGAGAGCCGCGACCCTCACGAGAAGCCGTGGATCCAGAACGAGAGTCATCGTGGTTCAGGACCCAATTGGCGGTATGCCGAAGTTTACCCTCACTATGCGCGAGAGGCGCGAGGCCGTCGCGCAGAAAGAGAGGATCGTGTGCGCCGGATGGATGCTGCGATCACGCAGCGTCTGGATCGCCTTGCTCGACGTGTGGAGTATCTGGAACGGGAGAACCAAGAGTTGCGTCATCGCCGGCGTCGACAAGATATGGCGCAGGGCGACCACGGTAGCGTGGGCGCAGAGGACGATGTACGTCTAGAAGCGTTGGCGCCGGACGATCTAGACGGTAGGATGAAGATGTAGAGTTATAGAAAGTTGCGGTGTAAACGCACCACCTGACACTTTCATACGTTTAGGAGCCCAATGAGTCGTGGAGCCAGCAAGTTAGCGCCCAAACTAGTCACAGAAAGTGTAATACCGTTGGTAGATAGCAAGACACGATAAAATTCTCAAAACTTCTGCATTCTCGCTGACCTGCATGCTCTTTCTGTAGATCAACGGCGGTGGCAATTGCGTCGCGTATGTAGCGGGTCAAGTTCCCTTCTCTATACAAAGTCGTGAGCGGACCAGCGTTCGAAGCTGCGACTCCAAACTGGGTTTACAAAAATCGCGACTGGTGGCTTGGTTGGCACAGTCGGGCATGGCGAATCATGGTATCCAACTGTAAAGCGACGCTGACGCGATTAAATAGGTGTTTGTGACGTCAAAGCTAAGACAGTTGACGGCGGCGCAAGAGCGCACTTCTTGTTGGCTCCTTGTCGGATCGTGACACTAATTAAAAGCGCGTAGATAGCGCCATTATATCGCACATGACGATCGTCGCAAGCGAACACAGCGTTGGAGACCGTTAAATTATTGGCCCGTCTGACAGGATGACCGAAATTTACCCGTGTGGACGGATGTGAGGCGCTGCACTCCAATATTAGGGAGGAGACACGAGCATGACGCCGATAACTCGCGTAAACTGGGGCAAAACCCGTTTACGTCGGATTAGGGTACTGCACCGATATGTTAGTCGATTTTGACTTGACAAAAATCTTCGTCACCATAGGTCGTTAGCATTTTAGCGTAGCTTGATCATGGCTAGATGCTTGAAAGCAAACATGAAATACGCTATAATTTCTAACATACGTATGTTCTGATTAAACTTTCCGCCGATCAGCTAGGAAAAATAAATGTGTAATTAGTCGTGCCAATGGCGGCATGGCCAATATCAAGATACATCTTCGAAGCAGCGACAGGTTCTCCCAGTCATGTGGGACAACAAGGCTAGCACTAACCTGAAAAGTGCATCTTCTGCGCTCCCGAAGACCCGGCCCTTGGAAGTCACGTCAGCAGGAACGATGTTCGTGTTGACTCCGAGAAGATCGCAGTCATAAATATTTTACGTGGCTTGCAATGCAAGCGACTTAACCGCTGGTTACGCAGTAAAGCAATTGACGACAAGGAATGCGAGCAAGCGATAAGCTACCAGTCGTGTCAGCTCAACCGGCCGGGCAGAATTATCCCGTTCACGACAACGATCACGTGGGCATGCGCTACGCTTTCATAAAGTTCTGCTTGTATTTCTAGGATAAATAGACCGTTGACGTTTAAACTAATCATGCACCGCTGCGGACACCTACAAGGCGTCATCAGTTCGTCATGTGCATGGTACGCTGGCTCTCGCTGTCCTCGGAGTATACAGTCGTCGTTCCATTCAAACCAAGCAGGATTAACATCCTCCCGATGCAATAGTGCGTCGGCTAGACTTCGTGCAGTCGACTCGCCACGAAATTAGCGGCATTGATGACGAAAACGTGCATGTCACCGGAGACGTCGCTAAAATGGCAGCGGCCACTTCACCCTGCGACTTGATTTTAGGCTGTGGTGTGTTTCGTATTGATAGAGCATCGATAGGGGTCCATCCGAGTGAGCGCGATGTTGATCGGCCGTCCCCACCTAACCGCGCTTGGGTGGATCGACTCGGCCTGGGTGGTGACCTGCCGACTTTAGGCCGTCGACTGCTCGGACACGCCACGCATCGTCGTCTCGCCATACATCGATCTCCGCGCGCTCAATTGATTCCCGAGCTACAAGATTCCTACACCTGCGATCATTTGAACGAAAAAGGATATTCGCGTCGCTCTCTCGCTGCTTCTACTGGTCGCATGTACAAATGAGTGCGTAAGTGGCTAACGTGTCAAGCCTTGAATGTTGAAGTGGGTGCAGCTTTGACCGATCCTTTTGCAGTGAAGTCGTGGTCTTCCTCAGCATAGATTCCTTTTTCGGCCTTCTGCGATACGCTCAAGTCAGCACGGGTATTATCGTCTTCAGTGACCGGTTTAGCACGACGGCTCACCTTACATTTGTTGCAGCGACCACCACTACATCTCAGTCCGCGACGGCTTATGTCGACTGGTGTACCACCTCCGTCGTTTACCCCGTCGATCATCTCCGATTGCGGCCCTCGCTCTACCTCCGCCTCTTGCCAAAGTCTTCAAACTTGTCGGGAAACAGTTAAAGATGGCCGCTATGTCACATCATGACATGGATGATCAGACCGAGCGAACGAACAGATTCCTCGAAAACGTGCTGAGAAGCTTCGCCACGTCGTTCAAGTCCTGGAGTTCATTCTTGTCTATGATGGAGTTGAGCTCAACAATACTGTTCAGGCGTAAGATACTTCCTACCGCTGATATATGAGCAGCTATACATGCTAACTAACTGCTAGCTAGCGCCTAGTATTACGCGCTAACGTGTCAGTGATACTTAAAACCTAAGAATGAGACGCGGTGGTGCAGGGCTTATTGCGGGAGGAATAGCCCAGCGGATTGCGGATATCAGCCCTGTTGCAGCTTGCAAGCAAGCTGAGGACTTCATCTCGCTGAGCCGGAGAGTCATGCGTCTGGGACGCGACGCTATGGCTGAGAGCCAAGAAATGCAGAAAAAACATGCTGAACGGGTCAAAAAATGGTGACATTGTTTTATTTAACGCTAAGAACCTACCTACACATGCAGTGTCTGCGGTCTGCAAGACCAAACTGAGATCTAGACTCATCGGATCGTGGCCAGGAAGAGCTTGTGTATACGCTCAACCTCCCAAAGAAAATGCAGATGCACCTGGTTTTGTATGTCGGTTTACTCAAGACATATCCAGATCCTGCTCAGGTGAGTACAGGGGCGTTGACGCCGGACCAGCCAGTGACTGGGTCACGACAACAGGCCGGCAAGGAGTGAGTTGTGGAGACACGGCGAGAGATGCGACGGCAGGTGGCAGGGCCAAAGATACCGAGGGACTATCGACTGGAGATGCAGCAACAGGTCGAGCTGACCATGCGGCCGAGCAGCGTCAAGCTCCAGAGCAAAGACTCCGCTCTGAGCGACTGCAACTGGTCATATACAGCTACACGGTTGTTGATCTATTCGGGATCGCCTGCAAGGTGGTGCAGGGCAAATTTTCCCACGTTGGAGAGGTCTGTGTCCCTACTGCATATCTCACTACCGCGGACAAAGCGCCCGCAAAAACAGCAGGGTGAAGTCTTCGGCACGTCTTCTCAATGACAGTCGCTCTTCGCACATCACGTTGCTTGTGGTATGGATTCAGCGAATATAAAAATGAGTAGAAGTCAGGGGTTGCGCGATGTTTGAAGATCTCTAAATTTAACAGCAGTAGTATTATGACCACTTTGCTGATACTATTATAGTAGTGGTATATCCCAAAAGAAACGGAGATATTAGTACTGTACAACAAACAATCTCTATTTCTTGTGTGATATACTTCGTAGTATTTAGTAAATCTTCTAATAATACTAAGACTGTTATTAATATGCTGGAGGTTTGACACAAGAGGCAAGATTCTCGTGGGGAAAGCGTTGGCGCTCGGTGTACCCAAAGGAAAATGATTTGGACGTTACACCAGCGTCCCTCGACTCCACGCCACCATCAAAACGACGAGCAAGGACGTGAAGCTGCCCTATGAGAAGGTGAAATTGACTGATTGTGTGCTGCTATCAGTGTTTACTGCGCACGTGGACGCGCTTGTTGGCTTTAGCAGATACATTGAGACAGGATCAAGTCCAAGCGGAAGTGGTGTTTTTTTTTCTCGGAAGTCTCGACGTGCTGCGTCACCCACGCAGAGTTAATGCGAAGTTTCGGCGCTCAACCGCGTCACGTGCTGCTAGGACACGACACCTGAGCGCAGAAGCAGTGTCTCACACTTTAGCGAAGCTGAAAGCTAAGCTACACGCCGTCTTTCTCCGTGCATTCCTGTCCGACGTAGAGACCTAACTGCGCGATGCCATCGAGCGTTTCCTCGTGTACCAAGTGCTTCACTAGAGGCTGCCGATACGTCCCAGCTGGTTCTGCGAGAGTGGCCTAAGATTCATTCTCTCTCCTAAAGCTTGTCGTGGTTTTGACCCGTCCAGTTGCAGGCCGCGTCCAAACTTCGGTGAGGTCCGCGAGAGCGTAGCCGAGATCACAAGTAAAGACCCCAGCGCTATGAGCCTGGATCATCATCGAACGCATCATGTTCCTGAGCGCGATCCCGTCCAAGTATTGCAACGTCACAGGCATGCATCTACACTGAAGACTACCGACAAGAAAGGACGACGAGCAGTGGACTGGGATGATGTTGGACTGTAGAAAACGCAGCTTTAACCAGACGTATCGCTACGCTGGAGGCGACAGAAGACGTCTGGAGCGCCTCAAATGCGTCTGGATCTCGTCCAACCAGGCCGACCATCACCTGGGCAAGCTTCAGCTGCTAATAAGCTCTCCTGTGTCGACCATGAAGACTGGACAAAAATACCGCTGTAGACCGACTGTGCGTGCGAGTATGCGTTCGTTAGAGAACTACAACTTCGACGAGAGCAATTCTTGCAGTGAAAAGGTCGAACCATACGCTAAAGCTGCTCGCGTCCGTGTGTGGCTGCGTGAGGCGTCGAAGATTACGCAGCTCGAGCGCGTCCCTGTCAAGCACGCGGATCAGTCCCACGCGGTAGTGGTGACATTCGTGGACGGCGTTAGGCATTCTCCAGCGTGCCAAGCTGTTCCAAGCCTTAGCACCCGATGTTAATTAAAATTATTATTTTTCTTTGCTAAATCGTAGTATAAAGCGAGACCTACCAAGCTTTATAACCAGCTAAAACCTCTATAATCATACAATCCAATGGCCGTGGCCTTTATTAATGGCCGATTGGCCGAAAACCCTTGTTAAAACCCAATTTTTGTAGGCCAGGTCAAGACGATTAGTCTGACTGCCAACATTTTCCCACTTAAGTACGTTTCTTGCCACCTTACCCTCTCTGAACCACCAAAAAACGTTTTTAGTCACTTCTGGGCGCATTAATCTAGCATCAAAGGCTACAGCTTTATTCTCTATCGACTTTAAACAACTGTAGCAGCTTGCAGTTTTCCATCTCGATCGGCTTTGTCTGTGTCACAGTGAAATATTAGAGCAAATACTCGTCAGTTTTAAGGCCTGCCATCACTACTGTTGCTTTAGAGCTTGAGCCGACTCACCACACCAACCTTGCCGTCACTCTCACTCCCGGACTCCATCTCTCTCACTGTTGATTTGTAATACTTCAGCTAGTCGAACGTTGAAGACATATGATTAGTGGATTAAAACCGATTTCGCAATCTTTGAAGAATATAGTACAGTATCGTACAGTATTAGCTAATATTAAGGTGAAATTTTATAATGTCACTTTGTCTTAGAAGATAATATTAGGTACTATTTCTTACATTAACTGGTCTATTATCACTATTTAAACTAGACCGATTTTGGAGCTACAGCACCATTATTACAACTTGTAGTCTACAGGCTGTGAGTCACAGCTTGTGACGCGCTATGCGAAGGAACTCGGTCATGTCATTGTCAGAAATTACCCACCCTTCACCTTTTTACATGTAAGAATGACTCCACGGCAGATCCATGGGGCGCCTTCCAAAACCCACATAAAAGTTTTGGTCACCCCCCGTTTTACGCAAGTTTAATTCTGCGGGTAGGTT